GATGACTGTACTGCGCTTTGACGGGACCAGCCTGAAAACGGCACCGGACACCATCTTTATCCCCGAAAGCTGCCAGCCGCCTGTCGAGAACCGTGGCATAGCATTTGGCAATGGCGCATCCCACAGCTAGACCCCTGTAGTTGTCCTTGACCCTGGGGTCGCCTTTCTTAAATAACGGACTGAGAGACGCCACGCAAAACTGGTCAGGCACATCCCCTGTATCCCAAATGTGCTGGAAAAGGTCTCGAATCGCAGGGGCAATAACATTGACAGACACCCTGTCCTCGTCACCTTCACGAGGGATTCGCTTGGCATACTTGTAGCACTCGGCCGGAACCATACCCAGACCCGGGGAACGCCCATTAGACAGGGACGACAAAGCCGCCTCAACCTCTTCAAGAGTGAACGGACCATTCATAGTGTCGGCCATAGACCGTCTAGCATGCACCGGTTCGGAATCACGCCACGCCGCCCCGACTTGGGAGCCCGTACCGAGATTGATACAGTTGAGAATGGCACAGACACGGGCCTCCTGCACCTCATCGAAGGAGGCTGAGGCATTATAAAGGCGATCGAAGTAGTCCGTCCACTCCGACACGTCTTCCACATTGCATCTGGACGCTGGCTTACCGTTCAGACGTTGCCATAGGGTCTTCGCATCACGTTTGCATGTAGCTATGAATGACTCCAAGGCTCGCAGCCGGTGATCCCGTTGCGCATTACGCTTAGCACGATTAAACTGACGACGTAACTCTTGAAAACTCGTATGCCCCATAGCCGGGGCAGCACACCCCCACTTCATCACATCAGACCGATACTGCAACATGGCCTGCTTAGCCGCAGCACACTCATCATTCCACCACGCCGCCTTGCCGTTAGAAACCGGCCCGGGCCTGAAGGCATCACCGAAGCAACCCAGCAAAATCCGTTCGATAGTGTCCACCGCCTGGGTGACACCAATCTGGCCAGCACGCAGGGAATCCACAACCGCCCGGACACCAACCACAGGGGGGGCCTCCGGGTTGTAGAACATGTCTGTGTACCTGTGCGCCTCAGAGACAAGAAACGTCGGCTTGGGTTTACGCGTGGGTGGCCGGTCCGGCCTCCAAACCGACGCGAGGTGAAGGGACACGGGGTTATGATCACTCAAGCGGCGTTCTTCACGGTGAAAAGATTGCTGTGGCAGGACACGGAAGGAACGCACGCACGGGTACAAAGAAGGGGACGCAAGCACAAGGTCAATCATGCTGCCTCCCCCCCGGCTGGACTCGTATGTGAGCCTGCCCTCAGTGTCACCCGGTGCCCGCCCATTGAGAATGACAACCTCTGAAACCCGGCACAACTCGAGCAGTTTA